TAAAATTGTTTGCGGACATTTTTGCAAAAAAAAAATATTTTTAAAAGGAATATTTTGACAAAAAATTAACTTAGAATAACCTTTTTTCAAAATGACTTCCTTCTGGGAAAAATGCTTCTATTATAAAAATATTTTGCCTGTATATAGCTCAGACCTCTGTATAGAGGCCCAATTATGATTTTTGAAAAATTCATATTATTTTCAGAGTTACAACCATTTGAAATAAATATAGTTTTTTTTTCTTAAAATTTCTACCCTCTGTTGTCGTAAAGCATGGATAAACCCACTTCTAAGTTATGTATTTCAAAAATTCTAGTTGAGCCTCTGTAGAGAGGTCTGAGCTATATACATGCAAAATATTATTATAATAGAATCATTTTTCAAAAAAGGAGAATATTTTGAAAAATGTTCATTCTAAGTTAATTTTTTGCCGAAATATTCCTTTTAAAAATATTTTTTTTGCAAAAATGTCCTCAAAACAATTTTATACATTTACTCTAATCTAAGTGACACTAAATATAAAAATTATCCATTTATGTGCTTTTACAAAATCACGGTTCCGAACGAAGTCGGATACCTTAAAGAGAAGTCACAAGTTTTTTAAAAAAAATTCCCCTGTATAACTCGTAAATTTTGAGTAATTCTGTTGAATAAACGTCTATTATAACAAAGCTCTATAATTTCTTATAAATTTATGTAAAAGCAAAATAAAAAAATGTGATTTCTTTCACTGTCTCAAAATATATAGAGAAATTATCACTGTGTCATGCAACATTCATATTTATTGGGACATTTTGGCGAATTAAGAATGTTTTCCCAATTATTCGGAAAAAGAATTGGTAATCATATGTAAATATTCTCAAGAATTTTTATTTACAATAACAAAAGAAACATGAAGCATAAATATATATGTGTGTGTATAAAATTCATTTAATTGAAAAAAATTGTAAATGACTTATGAAAATGACTAAATTTGCAATAAATAAATTGGAAAATAATCACTAAATTTAATTAGTCAAATTTTCCATGATATTTATAGGATTATACAGAATAGTTCTATTTATAACTCACTGTTTTATTTTTTAAATTAAAATTTTACTGAAAATTCGTCCTTTTATATTTATATCGGCTGTTTCATTTTAATAGCTGTAAAAATCTTTTATTTTCATTTGAGCGTGAAACAGCTGTGGCTAGAATTTCAAAGAAAGAAAGAGTTTTCTTTTATGTTGAACCATCAACCTGTGAAATTATAAAAGAGAGATCTAAAAGTTATGAGTTTAAATTTTGGAAATTGCTTTTTAACTTTCTGTTGTTTATTTCTTGCTTGAAAGAAAATCTCGTAAAATATGCACATGTTTTTCTTTTCTTCTATTTTTTTAGAAATATTTAACTGCCTAGAAGTTAGGGATATGTCTGTGTTTGTGACTTAAAATGAAGTTGGATTATGTTTGACAAAATATTCTTTATTGGATACCCCAAATTATTTTTACTTTTCTCTCTCCAAAGTGTTAATATTTTAAAATGGAACTCATAAGGAAAACATTAAAGTAAGAGATAAAAATGAAAAATTAATTAATTTATTTCATTTCAGTATCTACTTGGAATTTGCTCCCACATTTTATTGAACTCATAAATATATACTGGTAAATATTTAATTAAAATTAAAAAAATCAATTAAGCTTCGAGATATTTGTTTGAGATTTAAATAAGAACTTTTTAGTGTGTCTTTCTTTCTTAGTGTTGTGATTTACCGAAGATATATTTTACTATATAACGTACTTTAAAATGATGAAGTTTATATATGTATAGGTGTGTGTGTGTACATACACACATATATGTATATATGTTTTTTAAGTTGAGAATTTTTTAAAAAATTTTAATTACATACAATTGATTATTTAAATTCCTAACCAATATCGTACTCATGTAGATTGCATTTTACTGGCTTGTTTTAAAAGTATTGCATTTTAAAAACAAAATATTTGGAAACTTATTTTTAAAAAAATAAATATTTTTATAAAAGAAGGTATACGCACTAAAATGCATTCAATCGACTTTGTGTTCCGATATTACAATTGTACAATATTAAACATTCTCCAATTAATATTATTTGCTGTATCGATTGAACACTTTCTGTTTTTTTAAGAAATAATTTTAAAACCACTATCAATTATAGTCTAATCAGATTTTATGTAACAAGATGAACTACACTGTTTACAAATTTTCCAGTGAATTTTTTCTAAATAATCTCTTATAAATATAATATATAGTATTGTATATCATTTGAAAATTTCTGATTTCCTATGAATTCTGCCATATTTTATAATATGTAAAATAAAATCGCGAGATTAAAAAAAAGTGTTTTATTTTTAAATGTTTTCTATTGTATTTTTAGTGATATTTTATTTTTAGAATTTTGAATCCTTCAAAACAAAAACAAATTGAAGCTGCTTGAGAAAAAATTGAGCAACTTATTCTTTAAAAAGTATATGACAATGTGAAATATTCAATGGCAATTATATAGAACTCCTTAACTATTCTGCTACTGAGGTGGCTTTAAATAAAACCGAAAAAAACTTCCTTCATCGTAATTGAAATATTTATCATTTGCAACTTTAAAAGATTTTTTAACAGTTCGGAGAATTCGGTGAATGTAACATTGTGAATGTGAGAAAATGGAATAAATTTGTGTTATCGAAGTTGCTATCTGGTTTTTAAATTATATAAGTTTACAATTGGATATAATTTTCTTATAATTCTGTTATATTGGTATTTCTTATTACGTAATTGTTTATTTCATAAACAAAATAATAATTTTGATAATCTTAACCCGAAGATCTCAAAAGTATTTTATGTTATAATAATAATCACTATGATTTAAAAGCTAATCCATTGTATAAATTAGACGAAAAGTATAACTTAATTAATCATTCTTATACCCTTATCAACAAGCAACAGATTACTTATCAAAAACAAATACGTATTAGAATATAATTACGTAATTATGATTGCTATGAGGAAACCTCTAGAAGAATAAACACTACTGATTTTTCCAAATATTTATAGCTATTATGAAGAGTTTGCTTTTTTGAAGTGATATTTACACATACTATTAATTTTAACGTTTCCAGTTTTTATTTTTCAAAAAGTTTTTGAACAATTCATTTGTTCAATATTTTCATTTTAGAAATTTTACAAGATCTTATTTCATATTTCCACAAGACTGGTCCTATTGAGATTTAGAAACGTTTGTTATTTTACTTCAATTTCATTACGAAAAAAACCTATACGGGTGCTTTCATAAATCAATCTTTGATAACCATCCATGAATAGTTTGCCTTTTTTTTGCAATTTTCTGAAACCACAAAGTTTTAGAACTGGAATATATTTGAACGATGTACTCAATTTTTCAATATGAAACTCGACTTTTTTTTTATACTGCTTTGTAACAGCTCTCTTTCTTGCTTCATTTGACGGTTATTTTAAATGCAGCATGTTTTGTAAGTAAATGTCTATCTAAGTTTGATTTCTTAATTTTTACGAGTCTTTTATGACTCATAAGACACGCGGGACCATTCAGATTTTAAATAAACGCAAACCACTCTGCCTATTCTTTCACAAAATTTTTTCGAAAAAATAAATAGAAAATTTAGACAAATGTGAGTTTAAATGATAGGTGAACATAAATATAAGGTGTCCAGGCTTAAAGTTTTCAAAAATAACGATTTCCAATCAATGGATGAACAGTTTATCATATTCTTATATGTAATTCCGTAATAATAAGCCACTACTTTTGGGTACTTTAAGCCCGGACATCCTGTACATTAATTCATGATATACCCTAAAAATTTAGATCTCATAATAATTCGAATTAATAACTTCTAAGCTGTGTTGCTCATTTACCATTATCTCAAGAATACGAATAGTTCATCATTTCACAATTCATCGATATACATATCTTGATATTTATATCAACCACTTAATTCGTAATTAGATATTCATGTTTTCGAGTTATAATTTCTGGAGTTTTGAAAACCAAGCCTACTGCCTCATTAATGCCAGAGTTTGGAGACTAGTTAGCTGTCAAATTCTTGCATTGGTTATGATCCTCAGATACGCCTCATTTACTAATATATTGACGAATTTGGTGCAAGTAATCTATTTGAAATAGAATAAAATGTTTAATTTAAACTATGACATAACAAACAAGGACATATTTATTCACACGTAAGAACGTTGATTTTTTTGTAATCTAACATCTAATCAAATTAGTAAAAACAACAGCCATTAGTAAAAATTTTAGTAAATTAGTAAAAACTTTTTCCATTACGCGTCAAAATTACATACCGGTTCGAATTCTAACAATCAACTGAAGAGTTCTCTCATCAAGATTCAATACAAAAAGGATGCCAACGTTTGCAACAAAACTTATATTACCAAACGATTAAATATCAGTAAATAAAATAAACGTTAAGAAAAATTAGGATAAATAAATTATTAAATCAATTCAGACGATAATAGTATGAACAAGTAATATTAAAAAAAAAATGACGTTAATTCTTATACTTAGGACAAAAAAGAAAAGTTTTATTTTAGTTATTTTTGTTAAATAGTTTCAATTAATATAAATATTACTTGTAATGTATAAATATTAATTATAATTATAATTCTATTCTATATGATACGATAATCCATATGATTAATTCTATATGATACATGTAATACATGCTATGTACTTCATACATATGATACATGTCATACATACTATGTATTTCATACACGTATGATACATGTCATACATACTATGTACTTCATACATATGACAGAAACACAATATTAAGTGATAAAACAGAAAATGATTTTACTTGTAATTTTACTTTTTCCTTTCTATATAGGATTTTGGGCTACTTTTTGTTTGTTACTATTTAATTATTAATTTAATTTAATTATTCTAATAAATTAGTGTTGTGAAAAAGAAATCACTTTCTCAGAAATTAGGCCATCCCAGGTAGAATTCGAAACCACGACCTTGGATTAAAAATCCAACGCACTACGCATTGTGTTACAGTGACACAACGAGCAATTTTCCTTTTTATGTATGCTGTTGGACTATTATTTTTGTTTGTTACTATTTGTTCATTTTTAAAAGTAATTAATGAATTAATTTTTGAAGAAACTGTACTAACATCAATATATATATATATATATATATATATATATATATATATATATATATATATATATATATATATATAATGTTTGTATAAATAATTATATATAAGGAGAGAGTGAGCCAAGTGGTTAGAGCATCGGACTCCAGAACGGAAGGCCTGGGTTCGATGTCCGATGCCACCAAATACACTCCAAGCATTCACGGAGTATGTGCTCGTTAAATCAGTGGGTCCGAATGTCTTGTGGGTGGTCGCAGCAGAAACCACAAGTGCAGGGGGCTGGATAATATTTCCCTCCCCTCCAGTTCCATGCCTAAATTGTGGAGATGGAGATAGATGGTGTCGCCATGTATCGTAAAGAAGTCCAACTTGTCTCCGGCTCTCTGGCAGCATTCATTACTTTCCTTCGGGAAGGACACAACAACAACAGGGAGAGTATAAACTAGGAGTAGGAATTGATAAAGAAAAAAAAATGAAAACAATTTCCAAAGTTAACTGATACATTAAAAAGTTATTTTAAAAATATATTTCATACTTGCATATATTACATATTTTCATTTATATTCAAATCTAAATTAGCTGTGTAGTTTTTTCTTTATGTATAGCAACCTCCTCGATTCCAAGTGAAGAGTAAGGAGTCGTTGCAGGCTGTCAAATAGTGCGAGTTATCGCTGTTTCTATAATTTCTTTTTCCACACTCTCAGCCAAATCGCAACTTCTCTTTGTAGGTAATTATGTAAAATTATACAAACCTGTAAATAAATATTAGATTTAAAATTAACTATTTACTTGATTTTATGATGTACCAGATATAATTGTAGGAGTAAAATTGTGTGAGTTGTCACCTTCTCCCTTATATTAAGTATCACCATTAAGTGACATCTGGTTCTTCCGTAATAAGTTCTGGCAGAAAAGCAAACTGAGATTACTGAATCAATAATAAATCATATTACATATTCGGAATCGGATGTCAAAGCAAGAAATAAGAAGTAGAGAATTATCATAATTCGACATGTCATTTTTGATGATGTTTAATTCTTTCTGACTATTACAAGTAAATATATGTCCTAATAAATGTATATTTCACACATTATCCAGTCTTTAACATTCTCTAAATAATACATACGAAGAACAGTCTTGTTTTACAATAAATGGCCTAACACAATAAAACCTATTCTTTGAATTCACGAAATTAAAAAAAAATAATTTGATTAAATACAGAAATAAGAATGAAATAATATATTAGATGGATAAATTCGAAAAATGTAAAAATTTTCGATATTTTGAATTATGTTAGTCATAAATAAAATAATTGAATAAATACCTCCTGATTTTCTTGATAAATTTTCACTAATATTTTGTACGAGCTTTTGGCTTGACCATTTGTTGAGGATTTTATTTTGATGTGTTATTTGAACCGAAACTAATATTTTATGCTTTTCGAATTTGTCAAAAACAAGTAATATAAAAAAGTTTTTTTAAGTCAATTCCTACTTAGATCAACAAAGAAAAATTTCATTTTAGCTACTTTTTATTAAATAGTTACAATTAATATAAATATGTATATACATATGACAGAATCACAACATTAAGTATTCATTAATTTTTATTAATTATAATCAAAGTATCGTATTGTCATCCAAAACAATCGTGCATATAAAATTTCAGTTCAATTGAATGCTTTAAAATGTGAGAAAAAATATCTTAAAGTTTTGATGCAAGTCGCTAAAAATGAAACCAATGTGGCTGTATCTGTATTTCTTTAAATCAATAGTTTCAGTCAATTAGCTTTAATTAATTATAATTAAATTATCGTATTTTTACCCGAAACAATAGTTGATAGAAAATTGCAGCTCAAACGAGCGCTTTAAAATGTGAGAAAAAAAAAAACCTTTCATGTTTTGACACAAGTCACCAAAAGGGTCGCAAAGTCGTCAAAATGATACCAACGTTGCTATATTTGTAATTCTTTGAATAATTTGTTTCAATCAATTAATTTTTATTAATTATGATTAAATTACTGTATTGTGATCCAAAATATTCCTGTATATAAAATTTCAGCTCAAATCAGCGCTTTAAAATGTATTTTATTAGCGATTGAAAATTCTATAAAGATAAATATATAGAGAGTGTGAGCTAATAGTAGTAATTGAATAATCCAAAACCTAATATGTTTTTTGTCTTAAAAATTATATAATAGTGACGAGAGTTTTGAAGACCTATAAGATAATGAAAAATGCAAATTCAACGAACTGGTTCAGTTTTATATTCTGAACTGGAAATGTCCAATGTCTGTATGGATAGAAATTCTTTAAATGTATTGAGAATTTTACTTCATCTATATTTAAAGTTAAATGTTTCAACTATCAAATTCATAAAATGATGACATTTGAAAGAATCCAGATAAAACCTTACTATTGAGTGTGTACTTACGAGTATTGTTGCACCCTTTAAAGCCAGGTAAGTTACTTCATAACAGATTTTTCAATTGACTGTTTGAAATATCTTAGGATCCAAATGGTATAAGGATCTAACAATTACACTTCTATAAAAAAACAAAATTTTATTGTGATAACTATTCAGAGAGATATTAATAAAAGCGTTATCCAAATAAAATGATTTGCTTTATAGTTAATGTTTGTAATTATTTACCTACGAAGCCCAGTGGATGAGGGGTAGTGTATCGCTCTTCCACGCCAGGGATCTGGGGTTCAAATCTCGGGCTGGGCTAATCAATTCAGCCTTTTATCTCTTCTATAGGTCAATAATTGAGTACCAAGCTTGCTTGAGAACTAAAAAGTGAGGGTTTCGTGTTAGATTGTCGATGTAACCGGAACAACCTTTGCCTAAGATCATGAAAGAGATAATCACAGCAGGCATTGGCCCTCATGGGCTATTAGTTTTAGATTTGTAGCTATTTACCTATAACAGGAGTGGGTAACCTATATGGATCAACGTGCCATTTTTTCTAATGAAGTCTACAACAAGACGTGCCGTCAAATTATTTTGACTTACGACTATTGGAAAAATAATAAAACTAAATACCAACAACTCAAAACTCTTTATTTACTTCGAAAAATATACTTTTTGTACTGTATAGTTGTAAGTAACATTAGTGTGACTTCTGTTGTTGCTGATTGGATGAAAAATGACTTATATTAGGATTGTAAGATGTTACTTTTAGTAGAGTGCATACTGAATTGGAATCATTTGCCAAATAGTTTCTAAGCAACTAATTATTTTTGATGTGGTTCTCTTTTTTTCACAAGAGGATGTGTGGTTTGCTTGAGAATGCCGTTTTACAGACGATGTTCTGTATATCACTGTTCCAAAACATAAAACACACACACTTTGTCGCCTTTACTAATAATGACGTGTTAATAGATTCACTAAGTTTGAAATTCTCTGTTACACTTACTATCTTACACTTTTGGTTCTTTTGCTGAACTAGCCATGTTAAATAGCAGTTACAAATTGTAAATATAACACAAATAAACTTCAAAATACAGGGAGTGGCAACAAAATTGACTATGCTACGCGTAGACAAATTTTGTATTATAAGTAACTGTAGTCCACGATCTAACAAAGGCAAGACAATAACAAAAAAAAGGGTGCTTACTGCCAACTCGCGTCCGATCACTCGCGTTTGTTCGTAATTCATCAAAGTGAACTTTGTTACTTTGAAATAAAATGCAAAACGTTTTGATCACTGGCGTGGCCAAAATATTGTATCGCATGCCATTGATGGCACGCGTGCCATTGGTTTGCCATCCCTTACCTATAACAAAAAATAATCACGCATTTTGAAATTAAAAGTTGCAAAATAACGGGAAGCATTAAACTAAGCACTTAAAGTACATATAATGTTCAAGAAAATAATAAAAAAGTGCTCTTTTATTGAAGAAAAATATATAAAACTGCCTGTAGGTTAAAATAAGATCCAGCTATTGAAAATTGCATTACAAATAATCTAATACAGGAGTTCTTTTCCTTTTTTTCCTAAAAAGCCAAGAACATATGATAAGTATTTCACATGAGGCCGTAACATGAGGATCATGTGAGGGGGAAGAACACTATATGACCGAAGCAACTTTGCACAAAGAAAACTTAATAAAAATATAAAAACTCGTTTTTTTTTTTTTTGCTTTTACTTTAAGGCTGTTTTCGGCTAATGTTAAAGAATAGGACCCAAATTCGGAATATTTCTTCAGATATAAAAGTCCGCAAACATTAATATTATAGTCTGGCCTCACTATCCGGTAGAGAGTCACATATTTTATCACACTACTCATTTTTATCCGAGTAGAAATATTTTTTCTTTCAGAAAATGTGTTTCGAATTTTTTTTCTCCTATACCATAAAACTAAATGAGCTGTCTCTTTACATGTTAAAAAAACCCCCGAATTATTTATGAAATATTTTCAAATTTTAAAAACACCACATTTTTAAACAAATCCATCAGTTACAATGTCACAAATTTTTATAAAAATTGAGGCATTTTTTTCTGTCTGAAAAAATGTGCTTGACGTTAAGTTCACACTCTTGTGCATACGGCGAAAAAAAAAACAGTCTTAATACTATATTGACCTTTCTATCAAACACACACTAAAAATATTTACTTTTATGCCTCTTTTTCTAAAGGATGGGGTAGTTTTGATTGCCTTTCATCCACCATCAAGCCTCTTCTTTATATTATACTACCACAAAAAGCAAATTGATAGCAACATTGATAGATTAGGTTGTTATATTAATAGAATTTCCCGCTGAGAGAATTTTTATTACACTGTTCTTAAATAATTGAATTTCATAGTGCACTGGGCCAAGACCAGATCACTCAGAAAAGGCCCGTGGACCACATGTGACACACGTGCCGCAGATTGAGTATCATCTAATACATAAAA